TGGAAATGGGGACACACGGACATGGACACACGGACATGGACACATGGAAATGGGGACACACGGACATGGACACACGGACATGGACACACACGGACACGGGGACACACGGAAATGGGGACACACAGACACAAACACGGTGTCACCACCCAGCCCAGCGCTGCCGGGACCCCCGGAGCCAGCAGAGCACCAGGGGCAGCTGCATGTCACAGGTGTTGGTGTCAGCTGGGACAAGGACACACGGACATGGACACAGTGGGACAGGGACATGGACATAGGGAGACAGGGACACACGGACATGGACACAGAGGCAACAAAGGGACATGGGCACCGGGACACAACGGGACAGGGACACACGGACACATGGACATGGACATGGGAACACAGGGACAGACGGACACAGGGACATGCACACACACAGTGTCACCATCCACCCCCCTGGCATCAGCTGGGCCAAGGGACAGGCAGGCACAGGGACACACGGACACACGGACACACGGACACAGGGACACACGTGGGGCACACGGACACAGGGACACAGGGACACACGGACAGGGGACACAAGGACACAGGGGGACATGGACACAGGGACACACATGGGGCACACAGGTACATCAACACAGGGACACACAGACACAGGGACACACGGACACACGGACACAAGGACACACAGACACTGTCCCCCGTGTCCCCCCCCCGCAGGTGGGTGCAGCCCTTCCCCAGCCCCGGGGGGACACGACACTCGTGTCCCCTCAGCAGGTCCCGTCACCTCCCTCCCCCCGCGGGGCCACGGAAATAAATCCCTCGAGTGTCCAACCCCTCTGCCCACCGGGGTTGGGGGCCTTGGTTCTGCCTCCCCGCTTCGACTTTGGGGGTCAGGGACACCCCCACGGGTTCTGCCGGGTTTGGGCATCCCGGGACATCCACAGGTCATTCCCAGGGAAAATCCACAGGTCATTCCAGGGAACAGCCACAGCCCATTCCAGGGACATTCCAGGGAACATCCACAGCCCATTCCCAGGGAACATCCAGAGCCCATTCCAGGGACATTCCCAGGGAACATCCAGAGCTCATTCCAGGGAACACCCACAGCCCATTCCCAGGGAACATCCACAGCCCATTCCAGGGAACATCCAGAGCCCATTCCAGGGACATTCCCAGGGAACATTCACAGCCCATTCCAGGGAACACCCCCCTTTCCATTCCCAGGGAACATCCAGAGTCCATTCCAGGGAACACCCACAGCCCATTCCCAGGGAACATTCACAGCCCATTCCCAGGGACATTCCCAGGGAACATTCACAGCCCATTCCCAGGGACATTCCCAGGGAACNCAGCTGGGACAAGGACACACGGACATGGACACAGGGAGACAGGGACACACAGACATGGACATAGGGACACAGGGACACACGGACATGGACATAGGGAGACAGGGACACACGGACATGCACATAGGGACACAGGGACACACAGATACATCAACACAGGGACACACGGACATGGACACAGAGGCAACAAAGGGACATGGGCACCGGGACACAACGGGACAGGGACACACGGACACAGGGACACACGGACACAGGGACATGCACACACACAGTGTCACCACCCACCCCCCCTGGCATCAGCTGGGCCAAGGGACAGGCAGGCACAGGGACACATGGACACACGTGGGGCACACGGACACACGGACACACATGGGACACACAGGTACATAAACACAGGGACACACGGACAGGGGAACACAGGGACACAGGGACAAAGGGACAAATGGACACAAGGGACACGGGAACACGGGGACACATGGACATGGGAACACAGGGACACACGGACACATGGACAGATGGACACGAGGACACAGTGACACAGACACAGGGACAAAAGGATACAGGGACACAGGGACACACGGACACAGGGACACAGGGACACAAGGACACACGGACACAGGGACATGGGGACACAGGGACACAGGGACACAGGGACACACGGACACAAGGGCACAAGGACACACGGACACTGTCCCCCTGTGTCCCTTCCCCAGCCCCGGGGGGACACGACACTCGTGTCCCCTCAGCAGGTCCCGTCACCCCCCTCCCCCCGCGGGGCCACCGACCCTCCAGGCCCCGGAAATAAATCCCTCGAGTGTCCAACCCCTCTGCCCACCGGGATTGGGGGCCTTGGTTCTGCCTCCCCGCTTCGACTTTGGGGGTCAGGGACAGCCCCACGGGTTCTGCCGGGTTTGGGCATCCCGGGACATCCACAGGTCATTCCAGGGAACATCCAGAGCCCATTCCAGGGAACACCCACAGCCCATTCCAGGGAACATCCACGGCCCATTCCAGGGAACACCCACAGCCCATTCCAGGGACATTCCAGGGAACATCCACAGCCCATTCCAGGGACATTCCAGGGAACATCCACAGCCCATTCCAGGGACATTCCCAGGGAACATCCAGAGCCCATTCCAGGGAACATCCAGAGCCCATTCCAGGGAACATCCCCCTTTCCATTCCCAGGGAACATCCAGAGCCCATTCCAGGGAACATCCAGAGCCCATTCCAGGGAACACCCCCCTTTCCAGGGAACATCCACGGCCCATTCCAGGGAACACCCACAGCCCATTCCCTGGAATGTCCCTGGAATGGGCTGTGGGTGTTCCCTGGAATGGGCTCTGGATGTTCCCTGGGAATGTCCCTGGAATGGGCTGTGGGTGTTCCCTGGAATGGG